AGGAGAGGAGAGGAAAGAAAAAATGGTTTGAATTGGAACTGAGGTCATTCCAATGTGGAGTGACTTCCTCAAAGTTCATTAATAAAGGGAACATCAATGCAGGTCAGTGAGTTCTAGGTTCCCTCGTTCTTCCTTGCTGTTCAGTCTTCTTGGAAAATCCATTTGCAGTCCTTTCTCTCTCCTGGGGATAGAATAGAAATGTGTCTAGCTGGGGAAACTGGCTATTGTATCTAGAACAAAACAATTATTCTGATCTAGTTGTATCAGTGTAACATTATTACACAGGTGCATTATGCTAGGAAAAAAAAAAGCAGCTTTGTTCTGAAATAATTACATTCCATGCTACTCTCAAACAGGGGAGTTGTATGAAATATAGGAGTGATGCTTCTGCCACTGTAGTAAAGCCTCAAGCAATTCATTTTGCCCAAGCAGTGAAATAGGTTTGTCTGGTTAGACTTGCAGTACAAATCTCTGAGACACTTGATAACATAGTTGAAGAAAACCAGTGCACTTAAGGAGCCACTTGATTGTCCTCCAGGGTCACCAGAAAATACAATCTACAGCTGATTGCCCCTGTGTCCAGTACTACCAGCAGTGTCTGAGCAAAATGAGGTTTGGCAGCCCCACTCTAGGCAGACTGCAACAGAAATTCGTGATGACAGTGAGTTAAGGGACCTTCAGTATCAGAACATCTGCTGCTGCTGCCCAACAGGAGCTCTGCACTGCTAGAGACTGGAAAGTTCACAGGATCCATGACATAAAGTTGCTTCAGTCCATCCTCTTACCAGTTCCAGAGTGAGTCAGCAACCTAGATCAAGTTCACACATGTGCAGGAAGTATTTTTATGATGTTCTCGCTTATATTCCCAATGCATTGCAAATACCTTTCTCCTGCACCCCCCCCCTTTTAATGTCTCACAGAATTTGTCATTTTTAGGTGCAAAAATGAAGCTCTGTAACTCGTTTGAAGTCTCAGAAAAAAGTTTGAACTTTTTTTAGAATCTTAATTTTCTCTATAAATACCTAGGTCTGTCTGATACACTTGCTATGTGGAAATGTGTGGTTCTCCTGCTGCAGAATGAGGATTTGGTAGTAAGGGACACTGCTGCTGAGATTATACAACTGGCACAGTCTCAAAGGAAGAACAGTAAAGGAACAGGTACGTTCACTTTCTTTCTGCCTTTAAATATTTTTGAATACTTGAGAAACAAAAATATTTTTATTCTTGTCACAAAACTTGCTAGCTGTAAAATGATTCACGCATTTCTTATAAATATGTACTGTGGAAGATAACAGAAAATCATGAGATTTTACACCCACCATGGTTTAATTGTTTTTGTGTGTGTGTGTTCTCAGTATAACTTGCATATGGTTACACGACTGTGTAAAAAGACAACAACAGTTTTCTTCTGAGCCTTATGGTTCTTGCTGTGATGAGTCAACTGTTGCATGAGGAGTAATTTTGAAAATTCTTCAACACCAGCACTGGTCTAATGTAATGCAGTAGAAGATGCTATTTGAATCCCAGGTTATTATAATAGCCTGGTCACAGCAAGATAATAATCTGAGAAACAGAATTCAACTCATTGATTCATTATTAGACCTTGAAATCCATTTAGATCTAGATCAGCAAAGGCAATTCTCAGCACACCCACAATGTGCTTTCGAGGATGTGGGCCTTTGTGTCTGTGCCCTAATTTCCTCAACCCTGTTAATATTAAAATAACCACAAAATGTGAGTAGGCTTAACTAATTATTGTGTTTTGCTTTGAGAGTCTATGCTGAGACATTCTTCCATGTGTTGTGAATAAACAAGAATTTGCTAGTGTGCCAGTCTCTCTCCGATTGTCCCTGTCAGTCTGTGGCATTCAACACTGACTACCTCGACCCACGTGTTAGCAGGAGAAAGCAGTTGGCCATCTCCATGTAAACTTAAGCTACATTATCGATAAAGAATGTATTAGCAAAAAAAAGGGAGGAGGAGGGTGTTAAGTACATGCTTGTCACTACTGTAAATGGAAGTAGCCGTGAATGGGCTCATATGGCAGATGTACTTTTTGAGCAAGGCCAGACCTAGGTGGTAGGAGAAGGTAGGAAAAGGAGGGATGTATTAAGGAGGGCCTTCATCAGCCTGTGAATTCCCAAGCTCTGATTCCAGCACTTCCATCACAGCTCTAGCAAGTTGCTTAGTCCCAGCTACGTTTCTCTCCAGTGCCAAGAGGCTCTATGCACATGTGCTGCTAGACACTCACACTCTGGGTATTATTTCTGTCCCCTTGACATGGGACTTTGGGGCCAAAGACTCCAATGTCATCAGAGGGTGCTTCCTCTGGAAATCATGCAAGGCTGGAGTTTCGCTCTGGCTCTTGTATTTTATCTCTTTTTCTTTGTTGTATCTTTATGCCAAGGAATGTTCCCCTATAACTGAATTAGATGCTGGGGGCTCTGTCCTACTGATTTATACTGAGGTCACATCAACCCTTGCTGTTATAATTTGTCACTTTGTAAAGCAGAGTTGAATAGAGTTGAGGAAATAACATCATAATTGGCTTTTATTTTCCATGTTCCTAATTAGAGTAGAAGTTCATGGCCCCAGACTTGTGTTAACCCCTTAGTTAAACTTAGTTGTCCGTTCCCATTCGTTCATTTAAACTGCTTTCATTAAATCAGTCTCCTTTGTCTGTGAATAGTAAGAAATGCTACTTCCGAAAAAATAAAACCCAGTTTCTTTCCTCCTTTGTTTTACATTTTCGTTATTATTCTTTCATCAATCCCATTCTTTCCCGCATTGAACTCCTCCTGTTTCTGTGTTTTGCTTTGTTTTCCAGCTATTGAGGGAGAAACACAAGGAGATTGTCTGAGGTTAACAGTAAAAAGCTTCCAGCTTATATACATGCTTTTTCTTATTATAGGAACTATTATAGGACATTTTTTCTTTCCTGTATGTCTTGTTGAGTAGCAGAATGAATGCGTGGTGACATGATTGTCTCAGATAGTTACCTTTTTTCAGGTCACTTATAGACAGTGAAACCAGAGGCGAATGGTCCAGTCAGTTATGTGGTTTCACCTCCAACAATAGCCCCTTCCTGTGTTAATTCTTTGAAATTTTATGCAAGTTCCTGGGAGAAAATATGAATTTTGTTTCTTGTTATTCCCTCATGGCTTTTAGTGAGGGTGAAAAAAAAGACAACAAAAAAAAACCCACAATTTCCTCTGGTGGCTAATCCATGCAGTTTTGGATCACTCCAGTTATGAGGGCAGTAACCTTGCAGAGGATGAAACTCAGGGTAACAAATGTGATAACAGAACCTCGTTGTCACAGTTACAGCCCGTTTTCATTTGGAAGGAGGAAAGCACGGAAGATCAAACACACTGGTTCACAGGAGGGCTCCTTCAACCCCTCAAACCTCAAATTAATTTTTATGGGAGGCAATGTACTGTACCAGTAAATTCTTTTTTTTTTTATTCATACAGAGAAGCTTAATTTAATTTTGTAATGTGTTTAAAAATGGATTAAAGGTATGAGGTGAAAAAGTTAAGAGGTTAACTGCAGTCATTTTCTGAACAGATCAGGCCAAACAGAATCCTATTTCATTAGAAATGTGAAAAACTTCTGTTTTGCTTGCTTAAAATACCAACCTAGAAGGTAGTTAAGTTTTTACTAATAACTTGAACAATATGAACCCAATCTGTAACTTGAGGCATTGTATGTACACTTTGTTGTTGTTTCCTCGTGCATTGAGGTGTAAACTTCTGTGGGATTGTTTTATTCCTTTCAGTGGGAGGGAGGGTACAGGAAGTATTGTATTCAGTGTAAATGTAGAATAGTTTCTTTGAAATCTAATTAAATTAGTGACCCATGGCTGTGTAAAGTCTAGACCTATTCACAGCAGTGTTTCTTATCCCAGGGGTTACTCTTTACAAAAAAAGATCATTTAAGCCATGAAAAAGAAAGGTTTTACTTTCTTTCCTGATGATCTCTTTAGGGAATATTCTGAAAAAAGTCATATAATTGAGAGAGAGAGAAAAAAAAAAGCTGTATCCACTGTTGTGTCCTTTCCTCTATGGCTTTGTTATTTACTGAGGAAGATGTGTTACCTTGTGTAAAGTTATGGGCTTGTCTATATTAGAAAAGTCTAAATAAATAATTCCATAAAACAAATACCTTTAGACAGCTTGACCTTTATTTTGGTAAATCACCGAATTAAGCTTAAACTGCTTTAAGAGCATTTTTAGTGTTGTCAGCATTAGCACCAATTTAACTGATACAAAATTGCCTCAGCCGAATCAAGTTTCGCTGAGCAATTAGATTTGCAGACTGAAATAAATCTTTGAAAGTTCCTGAAGGATTTAGGAGTCTAAATTTTCTTTTCAGATGAACCGTAGGCCTCCAGGAAGCTTTTGCTACATTTGCTGGGAAGCTGCAGTGTGGTATAGAGTGTAGGTGAGGGAAGGGCTCCAAGCGGTGGAGCTCAGTAGGGTTTGTGCAGCATGAGGAGGTGAGTGGGTCCCCTCGGAGCCAGGTGGTCACTGCTCTGCCACTTATGACTCCAACGTAGTTTATAACTTAAACTCGTGCTAAGTATCTGTGAAAATTAGCCCAGTTTTTCATTATTTCCTAACGTTTTGGTGTAATCTGAGATTAGGTGTGAGGCTGCAAGTGATGTAGTTGTTTTTGAACCTATTGCTGCTTTAATCCACTGGCCAAAAATAGATACATGGATATAGAAGATATATCTTTAGTAGTAGAAATAGTATCTAGCTGATACTCATATGGCAGGAATTTCTCAGTAGAAGGCCATTAAAAGCTTTCTTCTCCTTTCTTGTTGATTGTTTCCTTCCCGATACATTCTACTTTTTATTCTCAGCAAAAACGGTGTTACTGAAAATGACTAATATCCTGTGGTTCTCTTTTATTCGCCAACAAAAAGCAGTCGGCTAGTGGCAGTGCTGGTTTTGCTGGGCAGGAGGAAGCCAAGCCCTTTACACCAGCTGCCCAACCCTCGGGAAGGCAATCCCGGGAGAAGGAGGCGGCGCTGCGGCACAAAGCGCCTCTGGGGAAATGGAGATCCTCGGGGAAGTCTTCGTTGTCAGCCATTGATCTGTGTTTTACTGGGCTGTGTATCTCTGCCTTGTTTTTGTGGTGAATCATGCTTTCTTTCTGGGGAAAAAAGAAATGCTGTTTGTTTCCTGTGCCTCTAGTCGTCTTCTCCATGCATCATGAATATAGAAGACAAACTCCAAAATAATCTTTTTCATGACTCAGAGTATGTGTCTCTATTGAAGGTGCTTGCAGAAAAGGCTTGTTTGAATGGGGCCTTGGGGAGCGCAGGAAAGCATTTAGTGGAGGTAGGAAGGGAAAAGTAAGAAGATTGGAATAAACTATATTAACATTTGGAAGAGCAGAGGAGAGGAGAGATCATGCTCAAATTTATGTTCCTTCTTCCTGTCGTCTAAAAATAATTTTTCAGTGAACCCGAAATCTCCAGATCTCTGCAGAAGTTTTCATACATCTGTGCCCTCAGAAGATCTTGTAAGTGCCTCTCAAAAGGAGCGAGTGCGGTCTGTGTGATGTGAGCATAGCACAGTGGTCTGGCATTCGTCACCAACACCACGGGTGGTATCAGCACATCCTGGGTGCCAGGGGTGATCTCAAAGCTTGTATCCCATGACGGAGATGTGAAATACTTTGGGAAAGTGACTTGGATTGAATCTGTTCCTATTCCTACTGAAATAGGGAAATATGGGGCAAAGCTGAAATGCTAAAAATATCGTCATTGGCAATGTTCAGCTGCATGAGAAGAGCACCGGGACTAAAGCATCCCACATGCTACACTTGAAACAGCAAAAAAGTATATTTTGCTTCATTTTTTTTCACCCAATTGCTTGTCAGTATTTGAAACTGGATGTTTTCAAACTCTTCTTTAAAGCACATGCAAACAGAAGGAGCTTTCCTTCCACATGTTTACCACTAGGTAAACGTGTTAAAAAGTTTTCTTAGAGCTTTAATTCATCAGAATGATGAGTCGACCTTGCACTAGTACCTCGCCTGGCCTAACTGTCTGCTCATAAAGTGGTGGGGCTGAGCTGTGGGGCTGGCAGGTAGCTGGGGGAGAAGCTGTGTAGTGCTGCCCTGAGCTGCATGCAAGTGCCGAGGTA